GGTGAACCCTAATCCAATATGACTGGTATCCTTATAAGAAGAGGTATACCAGGTATGCATGTGCACAAAGAAAGGCCCACATTGAGGCCACAACAAGCAGGTGGCCATCTGAAAGTCAAGAAACCAAACCTACTGACACTTTGATCTTGGATTTCCAGACCCAGAACTGTGGGAAAGTAAATCTCAGCTGTTTAATCACCCAATCTGTGTTATTTTATTATGGCAGTCCTAGCAAACTATTACAGCCAGGCAGTGTAATAACTGTCTGTAGTAACTATCTCCTCAATGATTGTAGTTACCAAATGAAGCAGATACTATTGAGATGGGGCCTCTTCAATATGCTCAGACCTGACCCTGACAGTAGGTAAGTGGAATACTCTGACTCATAAATGGATGAGGGGGGAGAGAATTAAATGGAGCCAACCAATTTTTTGACACATTTATCTCTGTCCTGATTGTGTTTGTGTTACTCTTTGTTCATTATATTAAGAGAGACTAGTAATACCCTAATTTACATCAGTACAAATTCTTACAAGGGTTTATTGATTGAACTGATAAGCCCCTTCTGATCTTTCACTATTCATTTCTAATTTTTTTCCTCTATATTGGTCTCCCTTGCTGAGAATCACTGGTCTATACTTTGATACCTCAAGTATCTCTCACTAGTTTGATGTTTTTGTTTGATATTTTCACTTATGACTTCATTTCAGTGAAATAAGAATTTGTCTCCATGGGATGGCCATACATTAAGCTAATGAAAAAGTTAGTCAATAAATTACTTTCTCAGGTGTAGCTAGATGCCAGGGAGCATTTTTTTACTGGGAGGAGGACGGAGTTTGACGGAAAGAGTGGTGGAAACACTGAGCGTACTCAGGGCCTAGATGAAGGGTGATCGGGCCACGTGGGAGAAAATGGGTCAAAGGAAAGCTGAGAGGACTTGAAAACAGTCTAATTCAGGAGGCTGTGACTTGGCTTCTTCCGGGGGCACCTACTGCCTCTCAACAGAAACTGCTGTCTTTATGTTTCACCCTGTTAGGCTCCAGCCGCACCTACCGAGGTATGCTGACTTGGATCTACCACTTGAGTCATAAAAAGCTACCTGAACCAGCTCATCAAAGTCATATTAACTATCACAAGGTCCTGGAATTTTATCTGTCAAAACCTAAATAGTTCTCCCTAAAATAACATATCAATAGTTACAAGTAAAGTTTGATAACTGCAAATATGGAAGGCAGAGAGAAACACAATGATTTCAGTCTGCTATTGCTCACAGGCTAGGTTAACTGAGCACCACTTTTGCCTTGTTCTGAAGAAGGGGTATAGGACCAAGGTATCCATAAAGTTCTTATTTAAAGTATTGTTTAGAGTTTTGGGTAAGGGACCTTATAATCAAAATGCTAAAAATACTTCTTATGCCAGGCACTTTGATTTGAACTGGAGAGATAAGATAATGCTGAAGGTCAAGTTATGACTTTGAAAAGACACAGGTATATCATTATCTGGGGGAGCCATGCTTTTTAGTAGACACAGGGGCTCCTGTAGTGATAACTACAGACCCCTCTTCTAGCCTGTGACTTAACTGCCTTGGCCCAGCAGGCACCATCAATAACAAGGCTTCCTGGAAATATCTGCCTGACCCTCTTTGAAGAGCAAAATTCCAAGGACAGTCTAAGCTCCCATCTTTATTTTGTCATCATCTTCGAGGGAGTCCAAGTACACAGCAAAGAAGAATAGTCGACAAGACAGTGTGTAATTTTGTGCTAAATTGCATGTATAGATGAAAGAAAAAAGTGAAATCATGGTGCATAGAACCACTTAGAGACAGCTTCATGGGGAAAGAATTTTTGCTTGAGGGTAGGTAGAAAAAAGAGAGCACAGCTAAGGTTCTGTTTTTGTGACTGGTAATTTTCACTCATGGCTGCCACCCTGACACTCCTGGAGATGATTGATGTGAAAGAGGAAATAAGGCAAGGAGCATGGAGCTCAGGCATATAAGACGGCAGTCTGAATTAGAGCAGCCATTCGGATGCATGGAGACTTCACCAGCAGGAGGGAGGTTGGGAATTATGTTTCATCAATAGAACACCACATATGTCATTGGGTAGAAGGCTTATCATGCAACAATTGTCCCTGCGCACCCCCTCCCCCAGTTAACAAGGTACCCATTAAAGTCATTATATAGTTAAAATAAATCTTTATACAACTTGGGTATAGCTGGTAGCCCATACTTCACTTTGAAGTTTGAATTGTTTGTTCCTTGAAGTATGTTAATACTTCTGAAATGTTTTAGCCTTTGGCATCTAGATTTGAGCTTCGCCAGATGTTTGTGATGTGCGAGATATTCTGGTCTTTGCGCTTCAGCAGAGATGATGCATCTGTTGCCTAGAGCGTCTGCTATGTGCTCATGGGCAAGGCCAAGGAATTAACCTGGGTTGGGAGTGTCTGTGTTTTCAGTTTGCTTTCTTGATTTGGTTTAGCAAGGTTTTCTTCTTGCAAAAGGCTTACTGGGAACAAGCTGAGGATGCAGCAGGGAAGAGTTGTTCCAAAAGTTCTCTGAGAATTTGAAGATGAAATTTTCTATAGACTTTATTCTTCCGCCAACTACCAGTGTGATTTTGGGGAGGTTATATAACCTGAAGACAGCCAGTTACTCACTCTTCACCTCTAGATCTTCATCTGAAAAGTGAAAGGCCTAGGAATGATGACTTTGAGGTTTTTCTTCTGAGATTTGAGAATTTGATCACTTCTGAGTAGTAAAAGTCAGATTTTTTTGACACTAGAGCACTGGGTTTGTTCATGTATATGTAGTCTCCCACATTTATTTGCCTCAAGCCCACTGTCACCACTTACTTTCCCAGATGGAGACATGCCAGGTTGGGAAGCATACGTAGTGGAGTTTCTTTGAGAAACTAGACCCAGCTACCTGGCCCATGCTCACAGTCTCCTCTCATGTCCTCCCATTCATTTATCCATTCCTTCAACAGACATTTATTGAAGGCCTGTTATATGCTAGGTACTAATCTTTAGAACCTGATCTATGACTTTTTATTCATCTTCCATTACACTCACTTTCTTTGACAAACCAGGCGGACAACAGTATAGGAAATGTATATTTCATCATTCTCTCGAGTAATTAGAATTATGAAATCGAGTTTTCTATAACAACATGTAATGCAGTCATGGTGGGTTCAAAGTGTCAGGGAGACAGTGGTCAACTGTGAAAGGTGTGGGTAGGTGGCTGGAAACAAAATATTCTTTCCTATCAAAACGTTGTTCCTCGGGGCCCCATTTTATTTTATTTATTTATTATTATTATTTTGGTTAATCTTCACAAGAGGATATTTTTCAGATAGAGTGGAAGGGAAGGAAAGAGAGACAAAGAGAAATATTGATGTGAGAGAGACACATCAATTGGTTGCTTCCCAAACAATTCTGACCAGGTACGGGGATCAAACCTGCAACCCAGGTACATGCGCTTGACTGGGAATCAAACCCGAGATCCCTCAGTCTGTGGGCCCATGATCTAACCACTGAGCCAAACCGGCCAGGGCGAGACAATAAACCAGGGCGGTTAGAGCGTCGGCCTGCGGTCCAGAGAGACCCGGGTTCGGTTCCCGCTGAGGGTACGTACCTCGGTTGCTGTTTGTCCCCGGCCCTGGTTGGTTGGGTGGGTGGGTGGCAGCCACTCGATGTGTCCCTTTCACGTCGATGTTTCTCTCTTTCTCTCTCTTCCTCTCTTTCCCTCCCACTCTATCTGAACAAAAAATGGAAAAAATGTCCTTGGGTGAGGATAAAAAAATTCAAAAATACAAAAAATAAAGGTTTATTGTCCCTGCTTTCAGATTTCTCTGTATGTGTCAAGGAAGGTACACGTTTTTATTGCCTTAATTTGAATTTTGACTAGGCAGGGTTCCGAGATCTAAATTCAGAGAACTTGAGATGGAACTCAAGCAGCTCTCTCACATAACTTTATCTGTAGAGAGAAATTAAGGGAAAGCTCAGCCAGCTGCAGATAATCACATCAGAAGGTCCTTGTTGCCCCAAACTGAGTTCTGGCTCTCTGGGCTGAGACAGCAGCCAAAGACCAGAGGCTAATGTCTATTTTTAAGATCCTTTTCTATTCTACATGAGGTTTTCTTACTCTCAGCATGATTGACATTTGGGTCTGGATAATTCTTTGTTGTGGGTGGATGTTCTGCACATCGCACGATGTGAACAGAGTCCCTGGGTTCCATTCACCAGATGTCAGTAGCACCATTCTTCCCCAAATTGTAACAACTGAAGTTGTCGCCAAACAGTTCTAAATGTCCCTGGGTTTGCAAAATTGCTCTGGTTGGGGGAGTCTCACTGCTCTAGGTACTGCTGAAAGCTGAGGTTGTCGCAATCCATGCAGCCCCAAAAGTACAAGCCTGAAACCTTGTGTGACTTAATGCCACAGGTAGTCAAGATGAGAGGCCTCTCCCAGACCATTCATGGATAAACATTATCTGAGAAATAAAATGGCATTTGTTTTTTATTTATTTATTATTATTATTTTCTTTATTGATTTTAGAGAAAGAGGAAGGGAGAGGGAGAGAGAGAAACATCCATGAGACAGGACATTGATTGGCCACCTCCTGCATGCCCCCACTGTGCCCTGACCGGGAATCGAACAGCGACCTCCTGGTGCATGGGTCAACGCTCAACCACCGAGCCACACCGGCCGGGCTGGCATTTGTTTTTTAAAAGAAGGTGCTCAGATATTTAGAAAATGGGTCACCCAGATACTTTTTATAAATGTTAAAATTACAATAATTTCCCACATTTTAAAGCATTTTGAAGGGGGGAAGAGAAGCCTAAGCATGTTGGGAAGCATCATAATGACAAGTGAATCATTTGACCCATCACTAAGATGCAGCTGCTCTGAACTGTGAAGTGGCAGCTGATTAAGAGCTTGTCACTGTTTCCACAAACGTTTAAATGTGGATATATTGCCATCACAACTTTCTGGGAACTTCCTCAGAGCAACATGACAGCAGGATAACTGAAGATTTAGAGCCAGGGAACTGCAATACCCCATCCTCTCTCCCCCCAAGTGAGGATGGTAAGGGGAGGTCCCTGAGACATGGGTGGGAAGATATACTTGTCTCCATGTGAATTTTACTCAGCAGTCTTAACACGCTTCTGTAGTTCAGATGAATTATTTTCCTAACTTTTAATACATGTCTTTGAAGATAGATTTACTTATTCGTATTGGAGTCTTCTATGGGTTGCTTTTGGCTTCTTTTTGCTTCTTGATCTTATATACTCCAGACTTTTAGGCATGAATTCATTTCCCCCAGGAAATATAAAACTAGGTCGTATCTTGTGGTGAAATAGTTCTGCAGATTCCTGGGATTCTGAAAATAACAGCAATAAGATATCATTACAACCATTCAGCAAACATTTACTGAGAACTGAAAGTCTCCCTGCTACTATGAGTGTCTTTTTTATTCAGTAATGGCCTTGTTTTCTGTATTTTGATGATGTTCTTTCGAGACCACATGGTACCATTGTTTGCTCAGGGAAAGGAGATGGCTTGAGTCTCTCCTCCAGGGAGGGGATCTTCCTCAAGGCTGCTTGACTCTTGTTAGGAATACAAGCACACACAGAACTGATCCCCCAAACCATTCATGATTCATCTCACCTGTTGTACCAGTGACTTTGCATGTTTCTGTGTGGCCAAGGCACATTATTTTAGGATCAGGTAAGAGGAGAGCGACAGGAGTACCCAGCTGATGGCAAAGAAAGAAGGGACACACAGGGAAGCCTTTGAGTCCAGCAGCTCTAGGTGACTCCGCCTTTTAATCTCAGAGTCTGTAAAGGGAGAGAAAAAGTTCAGGGTCATAGAGGGAAGCTGGATGTCTTCTTCACATGGCTGGTTGGCAAAGAAAAGTACCTGAAAAACAGCACATTGTTCCGAATACAACTTGTACCCAATTTGGGGGCAATTTTGTACCCCATTATTCATTTTTCTGTCACTGGCGTAAAAGCTGAGCCTTCCTTTTCTTCAAAGGAAGTTCTGTTCCGTGGTCCACTCCAGTAAGCACTCAGCCAAATGAAAAACTACACTGATAAAGAGATAATTATTGGCTATACAAATTGCTGTGGCCAGTCCTTGGTTTCAGACACATTTTTTCCTCTAAGCAGTGACCTTTACAGGTTCTGTTATTTATTTTCTTGACATCACTGCAAAGTGATGAGAAAGTATTGCTCTCTTTTGAAAGTAGAGAAAAGAAGTGAGGAAATTAAATGACCCTACTCTTTTCTCTCTAGACAGTCCAATCTCGTCTAGTTCATTTCGGCCCTGACACTTACTAGCAGTGTGACTTTAGTTAATCCAGTGTGAGTTTAGTTAATATGTGTTTCAGTTTCTTCATCTATAAAATAGGACTAAAATAGGATTCTTATGAGGATTAATGAGTTAATACATATAAAACACTTAGAACAGTGCCTGGCACATAAGTAAGCACTCAGTAAGTATTAACTATAAATACAACAGTAACCCTACTCAAGCTTAATTAATAAGCATTACTTCCATTAAGCTGATCATTTCCAAATCCACCTCCTTATTCTGAACTCTGTCCTGAGTTTCATATCTGTATTTATAGTTGCTACTGCATCAGTTAACAACATAATTATTCAGTAAATATTTTTGAGTACCTACTGTTGAGGTTCAAAGGAGTCCAATAAATAACTCCCGTTTTCCCATCTGAATTCTGAATTAATTAAAGAGTAGGACAAAAAGAATGAGGCAATTGGAAGACTAAACTATCACCTTCATTACTAATAAATCTGATAAAGGATGAAGCTTCATCTGCTTGGAAGTGAGCTGCAACCCAGACTTCTCCAGGGGTAAGCAGCACAAGACTAGGGCAGGCTACCCCCTGAAAAATGGATGACTTGGAGGAGCAGAGTAGAAGTTATATTTCCTGAGCGTAGCTAGAGAGAGACAATAATAAAGAAGGAGCTGAGCTATTTATGTCCAGCTTCTTCTAATACACTCGCTGATCAGATATATTAGTAATTCCTTCTTCTCTGGTGAAGCATGAAAGACAGAGAACAGAGAGGCTAGAAGGGTCACAATAGTGGGAATCTCTCTCATGGAAGGAAATACGTGGAATAGGGATGGAGCCTTCTCCCCAAACCTGTCACATGCTGGGTGATATCTCTTCCTAGGGAAACAATGGGCACTTTCAACTCAACATCTCTAAAACCTCATCTTTTTTTCTAAGCATGGTGCTTCAGTGTTTTGTTTGTTGGTAGTGTTACTAAGCTCCTAAGCAACCTGGGTAGAAATATCACACCCATTGGACTTGCTCTTCCTCTTGTCCTTCACATTTGTGTTACTAAGGTCTGTAGATTATTTGCTTCATCAACTTTTGATTCTTCCCCCTTTCTTTCCCATTGCCACTATCCCCATTAAGACCCGCATAATTTCTCCCCTGGATATGGACATAGGCTCCTGACTCCATGCTATCCTATCCTATCAAAACCATTCTCCTTTAAAACTAGGCTTGAAACCTGCCTTGCTGAGCCCCCACAGTCATAATTAACAACCCATTCCCCTAGGCACCGTATCTAGACTGCGAGTAACTTCTGTTATGACAATTGTGCTGTTTATCTCAGTATTTACTGGGACTTAAATATTGCTTTGTATCTATTTGGTATACAATAGATACTTGTTGAATGAATGACCTGAATTACCAGTATAGTCAGAGAACACAGGATGTAAACCCTATGGCCTCGTTCAATTGTTTAAAAACATGTATGGAGTACATACATACTTTGTGCATGCAAGAAGGAATTATGTTATTTTCTTAATTTTGAGCTATGTCGTGGTACCAAAAGTTGTATTTAGTCTTAGTACTGATACAGGGAACACTAGTTCTGATGTATCCAATAAGCATATATTGAAAAAGAATCTGCTCACTGAATAAAAGGTGTGCTCAATTTCAGTGGTTTATTGAGTTATTGCCCTTTCTAGTAGAAGACATTAGTTATACAGTTTAGAGCATTTTATTGAGATCTAAACTGAGATACTGTTGTTAACACTCATTGTTTCAATGCCCAACGCTTCACTGACTCCTCTTCTGAGAAGGCCTTTCATTAGGTACTGCCTCATTGGTCTAGTGTGGGCAGCTGGCCCACGTTGAGCCTTTCTGGGAATATAGAATAGGACTGAGGGATTGAGGTTCAGCTTGGTTACTCTGTTGGATGAAAGCGACTTGTAGCCTTAGACGACGTGGTTCAGTTGGTTGGAGCATTGTCCCAAACACCAAAAGGTGGTGGGTTCAATTCCTGGTCAGGCCACATACCTAGGTTCAATCCACAGTTGGTGCTTGTACGGGAGGCAACTGGTTGATGTTTCTCTCTCACATCGATGTCTCTGTCTTTCTTTAAAAATTAATAAAAAACATCTTTGGGCGAGAATCAAAAAAAGAAAGTGTTATAACCCAGTAATTTTCCATCCACTAGAAGAAGGAACCTCTCCTGGGTTCCTTGAACCCGAGTTATTTTTGCAAGAAAATTCTTGAAGAGAAAGGTATACATCAGCCATGACCACAAGGGTATTGACCATAAGCTTAACTAATCAGGAGATGCCAGACGGGGCAATGAGACATTCAAGGCTGGGGTCTGGTAAATGTTAAGAAATATAAAGTAAACAACTTGTGCAGCTGCTAACTGCTGATATCCGCTTCTGTACACGTAGCTTGCTTGCTCTGCTAAACTCTCGAGTAACCCCTGTCCTATATAAGCAACCCTCCCCCTTTATTGGCTGCAGTCCCTGCGCAGGTAATAAAGCTTCTAATATTCAAAATTACTTTGTGTCTGAGTGAGGTTGATTCTCCTGGGTTACAACAGAAAGAGACTTTTAAAGTTATGAGTTTGGAGACTTCCGGTCAAGATGGCGGGTAGGTAAATGCGGTATCACGTCCTCCAACAACCACATCAAAGTTACAACTAAACTACAGAACAACCATCATTCAAAGCCTCCTGAAATCCAGCTGAGTGGAAGTCCTACAACTACGGAATTAAAGAGAAGCCGCATCCAGACTGGTAGGAGGGGTGGAGGCGAGGGCTGGTCCCACACCCACCTGTGGCGGATAAAAATCAGGAGGACACCTTGGCTGGGAAGGTCCTCCCTGAGGATTGAGGGGTCCCTGTCCCCACCAGATGATCCACTCAGGGTTCCAGTGCCAGGAAGAGAATCCCCATCACTTCTGGCTGGAAAAACCAGCGGGAACTGAGGCCCAGGGAAGCTGAAGCAGGTGGAGCCCCAGGCAGCTCCTTAAAGGGCCGGCGCACGGACTTATCGGACTCTCTCCCTCTAAGCTTGGAGGGGAGGCAGCTCGAGGGGCACCAGAGACATACAGGGAAGAGCAGAGACATACAGGGAAGAGCTGTTTGGCACTGGAGCGAGGGCTGGAGAGGGGGCTTTCTCCGGGACAAACGTGCTGTCAGAGGCCTTTGTTCCTTTGGTGAGCCCTTCCCGGGGGCGACAGACAGCCGCCATATCTGGGACTCCAGCAACCTGGCTCACACTGGTAGCCCCACCCTGCTGACTCCCTGAGGCCCCGCCCCACCCTGCCCAACTTTCAGGCCCACCCAAGCTGTTGCCAGTTGCTTTACCATAGGATTGGCCTGTCGTGGATCCTGCTTCAGGTTTTCCTAAATTCTTTCAAACAAGCAGCATCTGGTCTCAGCTAGCCCCATACCTCTCATTAAGTAATACACAGAAACAAACACAGGGAGGCAGCCAAAATGAGGAGACAAAGAAACAGGTCCCAAATGAAAGAACAGAACAAAACCCCAGGAAAAGAACTAAGTGAAATGGAGATACTGAGTTCAAAATACTGCTTATAAGGATGCTCAGCAAACTTAGTGAGGGCCTCAAGAGCATAAAAAAGGATCAGAAATGAAGGACGCACAGTCAGAAATGAAGGAGGCACTAACTGAAATAAAGAATAATTTACACAGATTCAATAGTAGAGTAGGTAAAGCCAAGAAACAAACCATCAATTTGGAATCTAGGGAAGCAAAACACACCCAATCAGAACAGCAAAAAGAAAAAAGAATCCAAAAAATGAGGATAGTGTAAGGAGCCTCTGGGACAACTTCAAGTGTGCCAACATTTGCATCTTGGGGGTGCCAGAAGGAGAAGAGAGAGAACAAGAAATCGAAAACCTGTTTGAAACAATAATGGCAGAAAACTTCCCTAACTTGTTGAAGGAAACAGACATACAAGTCCAGGAAGCACAGAGAGTCCCAAAGAAGATGAACCCCAAGAGACCCACACCAAGACACATCATCATCAAAATGCCAAAGGTTCAAGACAAAGAGAGAATCTTAAAAGCAGCAAGAGAAAAGCAGTTAGTTACCTACAAGGGAATTCCCATAAGACTGTCAGCTGATTTCTCAAAAGAAACTTTGAAGGCCAGAGGGAGTGGCAAGAAATATTCAGAGTGATGAAAAGCAAGAACCTACAACCAAGATTACTCTATCCCGCAAAGCTGTCATTTAGAATCGATGGTCATATAAAGAGTTTCCCAGACAAGGAAAAGCTAAAGGAGTTCATCACCACCAAACTGTTATTATATGAAATGTTGAAGGGTCTTCTTGAAGAAAAAGATAAAAAAATGAACAGAAAAAATGGCAATGAATACATGGCTATCAACAACGGAATCTACAAACAAAAGTAACAAGAAGAAAAGAAACGTTCTCATAGATACAGAGAACATTTTGTTGGTTGCCAGATGGGAGGGGGGTTGGGGGAATGGGTGAAAAAGGTGAAGAGATTAAGAAGTACAAATTGGTTGCTAGACTGACAAACCTCAAAGGAAAGGGGGGTTGGGGGATGGGAAGAAATAAACCAAAGAATTTACATACATATATGCATAACCAATGGACACAGACAACAGTGTGGGGAAAGGCGGGAGGGTAGTGGGAGTAGGGAGGAGGGGGTCAATGGGGGCAAAAAAGGAGGAACATCTATAATACATTCAACAATAAAGATAAGTTTAAAAAAATAAAGCTATGAGTTCACCCTGGCCAGTGTTGCGTAGTGGTTAGAGCATCAGCCTGTGCACCGAAGGGTTGTGGGTTCGATTCCTGGTCAAAGGCACATACCTGAATTGCAGGTTTGATCCCCAGCCCTGGTCGGGGTATGTGCAGAAGGCAACCAATTAATTTGTCTCTCTCACATTGATCTCTCTCTCTCTGTCTCTCCCCTACCCTTCCACCTTTCCACTCTATCTAAAAATCAATGGAAAAATATTCTCCAGTGAGAATTAACAACAAATATATATATAAATAAATAAAGCTACAAGCTCTTGGCGACCACATTCTGTTCTATAGACTAAAACTAGAGAGCAAATTAGAGAGTAAAGAGAGAATAAAGTAGAAATGAGAGACAAAAAATCCCAATGGAATGTAAGTTCCTGCTTCCAGCTATTTCTGAAGCTATATTGTACTTACTGTCCTTGGTTCCATGAGACATCCTAATACTCTGTTAATAATTTACCCTTTTAGCTTAGTTGATTTGAGTTGGTTTTCTGTTATAGGCTACTGAGAGTGTGCTAACCAGTACGGTCATCAATTTTTTCCGCAAGATAGTGGAAGAGTTTTCTAATTTTTTTTTTTAAATCCTCACCCAAGGATATTTTTCTATTTATCCTCCAGTAGAAAGAGAGGGAGAGACAGGAAGAGAGAGAAAAACATCGACGTGAGAGGGACACAATGACTGGCTGCTTCACACACGACCTGACCAGGGCTGTGGATGAACCGAAACCAAGGTACGTGCCCTTGGCTGGAATTGAACCTGGGACTCATTGGTCCGTGGGCCGACACTCTACTGCTGAGCCAAACCAGCCAGGGTGAAATTTTTTTTTTAATCCTCACCTGAGGACATTTTTCCTTTTTTTGTTTTTTTTGTTTGTTTGTTCAGATAGAGTGGAAGGGAGAGAGAGAAAGAGAGAGAGAGAGAAACATCGACATGAAAGGGTCACATTGAGTGGCTGCCACCCGCACAACCCAACCAGGGCCGGGGACAAACTGCAATGGAGGTACATGCCCTTAGTGGGAACTGAACCCCGGTCTCTCGGGACCACAGGTCGATGCTCCAACCACTGAGTCAAACCGGCTAGGGCCAGGGCAAACTTTTTAATTAAATATTTTTGTTGTAAAAAACACATAACATGAAATTTTAAGTCTACCAGGTTTTTTTTCTTTTTTTTTCTTTTGTGGTATGTGCCCCTAGCAGGAACCGAACCTGAGACTCTCTGGTTCACAGACCGACGCTCATCCCCTGAGCTAAACTGACCAGGGCAAGTCTACCAGTTCTAAGTTTACTGTTCAGTAGTGTTAAGTATATTCATATTGTGAAACAGATCTCCTAAACTTTTGCATCTTGCAAATCCGCAACTCTATTCATTAAACAACTGTCCTTCCTTCCTTCTTTCCCCCAGCTCCTGATAACCATCATTCTACTTTCTGTTTCTATGAATTTGGCTACTCTAGTTACCTCATATGAGTGGAATTATGCAGTATTTGTTTTTCTGTGATTGGCTTATTTCACTTAGTATAATATCCTGAAAATTCATCCATGTTGTAGCATATGAAAGGATTTCCGTCTTTTTGAAGGCTGAATAATATTCCATTGTACGTATATACCATGTTTTGTTTATCCATTCATCTCTTGATAGCCATTTGGGTTGTTTCCTTCTCTTGACTATTATGAATAATGCTGCTGTGAACATGGGTGTGCAAATATCTCTTGGAGATACTGCTTTCAATTCTTTTGGATATACACATAAAAATGGGATTGCTAGATCATATAGCAGTTTTATTTTTAATTTTTTGAGGAACCTTTGTACTATAGTGGTTGCACCATTTTACAATCTCACTTAACGTGCACACAGGTTCCAAATTTTCCTTATCCTCACCAACGCGTTATTTTCTGGGTGTTGTTTTTTAAATGGGTATGAGTTAATATTGTGGGTTCCATTTGCATTTCTCTTATGATTAGTGATGTTGAGCATCTTTTCATATGCTTGTTGGCCATTCGTATATATATTTTTTTCAATCCTTACCCGAGGACTTTTCTCCATTTATCTTCAGATAGAGTGGGAGGGAGGGAGAGGGAGAGAGAGAGAGAAACATCAGTATGAGAGGGACATATCAACTGGTTGCCTCCTGCGCGACCCTGACCAGGGCCAGGGATGAACCGCAACCAAAGCCTTTAACTGGAATCGAACCCGTGACTCATTGGTCCGCGGGCCAACACTCTAACCACTGAGCAAAACTGGCCAGGGCCATTCGTATGTCTTTTTTCGAGAAATGTCTATTCAAGTCTACCCATTTTAAAATCTGATTATTTGATTTTATTGTTGTTGTTGAGTTAGTTATAGGAGTTCTTTTGTATTCTGGATATTAACCATTTATGAGACATATGATCTACAACTATTTTATCTCATTCCACAGGTTTTCATATGTATAAGTTTAAATAAAAAATAAGCTGGTGAAAATATGGTTTGTTCAGTTAAATTCAGCAAACATTTATAGGGAACTTACCATGTGCAAGGTATTCTGTCTGGTACTATGCTTGATATAAGACGGCGGTTCTCCTGACATACTCCATCCACTACAGTTTGAATTCAAGTTAGCCCCAAGGGGGATGGTTATAAAAATCATAATTCAGTCTCTGCATTTCCTTGACGCTAGCTCAGCCCTAGGTTTTGTGTGCACTAAAGCACTGCAGGAAGACGGGAGTGCTGGGCCTCCCTGTGTCCTGGTCTTTCAGCCTGGGAGGCCAGTTCAAATCGGAGCTTTTAGGTAATCCTGTGCCAGCATTAGAGGGAGCGTGAGCCAGTCCCAGAAGCGCGGATAAGACTAAGGCACACGCTAGGAACTTTCATCTTCAGACTGAAAGCCTTCTCAGAGGCCGGCTAGAACCAAACCAGAGTTGGGGGACTTGGCATATCCATCACTAGCTGAACACATCAGAGATGTCAAACATCATCATTTCCCACTGCTCCAGCAAAGCAGTCCTCCTGAGCTTAGGGCCCCCGAACCCTGAACACTGCTCTCCAGGCAGCCAGGAGGCGTATGAGATGAGGCTCAATGGCCATCTTTGACCTATTATGCCATAAATATTGTTTTGTATTAGTCTTCTTACGTATTGTGATCTCAACTGGAATTGTGATCAAGGTCTCTGTGAAGGGAACTCTAGAGCTTTCTGTGCCCTGGTACATAATATATGTTACAGAAATTAGATTTTAATTTAGATTTTATCTCACCCCAATAAACCCATACATAAAGCATGAAGGAACGCACCTGTTACTTTGATATCCCCTGTGGCTTTGGCAATGTTGTTCTCAATCATACAGGAGTATGTGTTGTTGATTGTGACATTGTAGAGTACAGAGATAACCTTCATGGTCACATTCTCAGAATTCAGCTCAAAGCTGGTATTGGAAACTTCTGAGAAGTTGGTTCTTTGGTCAACTTGGGATGTCCAGACCACCGTAGGCTGGGGGAACCATCGGGGAGCCTCACATCGAAAGCTCTCTGAGCTGGCATTATAGTCCACATCCATCTCTGGGATGCTGAAGGCTGCGGGGTTGAGGGTCAAAAAGGGCAGATGTCAAGGTCAGAAAGGTAAGACAATATAGCCTTTGAAGTAGTAGGTCTTTAAAGCACATTGAGGTGACTCAGTACTTTACTTCCCCAGTGGACTCTCTGTGTATGGCCTGTTGCACTGTAGCTGCAGATAATGATTTGCTCATTGTATTGTTGTAAATCACAACTCTTTGGCCATTATCACAAACTCCCAAGGCCTCAGTTCTAGGTATAATTGTTACAACAGGTAAAATTCTCCAAGTAACAGGAGTTCCAGTGATTACAAAAAGTTTTATTCATTAGGGAAATTGGGGATTTTCTCAGGCTCCTGTGAAGCCTCCTAGACTTTATGTATTTTTCTGCCTGGAGAAAATAGTAATGGGAGGGAGAGGGAGAAGGAAGAAACAAACAGCATTCACCTGTCACCCAAAGAAATTCCATACACAGGCCTGTCCTCGTGGGGATTGGGAGTTTGCTCGGGCTGGGACTGTCCTGCTGTGGTATCCAAGAATGGAGACAGGCGTTTGTTTTCTTCTAAGATAACTCTCTTCACTGGGGAGCTGACTGCATTTTGAAATTAAGACTAGCTTGCTCTTCCATCTAGGTAGACAGACACTTGTGGAAAATTCTGAGGCCTGGACTTTTGACTCCAAACTGGCAAGATACAATTTATTAATTTACGTCGCATCTTCCTTTGCCCAGGACTATGCTGGTGCTGAGTAGTGAAAGGAAAGCCCTTGCTTTGCCCTTAAGAGCCGGCTCTCGGCAAGAGAGAGGAAGACGCAGGCGCGTGGAGCAGGCGGGGAGCAAGCTCCTCGGAGATGACGTGGGAAACTGAGCGGACGGGACAGTGAACAAGATTTATTGAGGATGTGCCCTGTGCTCTGTGCCCAACTCCAGATATTGTTTCATTTGATCCTCACAACAGTCCTGGGGAAATCTATTATTGTCCTCATTAAAAAAATAAGCTTTTGCCCGGCTGGTGTGGCTCAGTGGTTGAGCGTCTACCCATGCACCAAGAGGTCGCTGGTTCAATTCCCGGTCAGGGCACATGCCCAGGTTGTGGGCCCGATCCCCAGTAGGGGGCATGCAGGAGGCGGCCAGTCGATGTTCTCTCTTATCTCTGTTTCCATCTCTCTCTTCCTCTTTCTCTAAAACAATAAAGAAAACAATTTTTAAAAATCTCTTAATTTTGGAATTATTTTAGATTTTTGGAAAGTTGCAAAGATAATACAGAGAGTTCTTATGGCTTCTTACCCATTTCCCCCTAATGTTAACATCTTAAATAACCATGATGCGTTGGTCAAAACTGAGAAACCATCATTGGTGCATTACTATTAACCAAACTCCAGGCTTTATTTGGATTTTACCAGTTTTTCCACTAATTTCCTTTTTCTGTCCAGGATCCCATTCAGAATACCATATTGCATTTTGTCATGTCTTCTTAGGTTCCTCTGGCCTGTGACAGTTTCTCAATCTTTTCATGTTTTTCATGATCTTGACGGTTTTGAGGAGTACTACTCAGGTATTTTATAGGATGTCCCTCTATTGTAATTTGTCTGATGTTTTTCTCATGATTAGACTGAAGTTACGGGTTTTAGAGAGGAAGACTATAGGAGGTAGAGTGCCCTTCTCCTCATATCACATCAGACAGCACATGCTATCAACATGGTTTATCATTGATATCAACTTTGCTCACCTTGCTGAGGCAGTGTTTGCCAAGTTTCTTTGGAAGCTGGACTTCACTAAGTCTAACACACCCTGAGTGTGGTGGCCGGGCAGGGGAGAGTACTAAGCTTCACCTTCTGAGGAGGGAGAAATCTAAATACATCATTAGGAATTTATCTGTAAAGAAGATTTGTTTATCTGTCTCGTACTTATACAAGTATGGAGTCATCTGTATTTTATACTTGGAGTTATACTTTAATACTATATTCTTTATTTTGTTGCTCAGGTTGTTCCAGTTTTGCCACTGGAAGCCCTTTGACATCACCATATTCATCCCCGATTTAAGATGAGGAAACTGAGGCTCTGGGAGTTTGCCTTGCCCGGGCCACTGTATTTGCCTAGCTCTGGCTCCAGACATATGCTTCAGACCATACAGACACACGTTATGAGGCATCCAAAAAAGGCCTGTGCAGACTAGCTTAGGCTATACGGCTTCAGGATACTGTCTACCTACCCTTCAAGATTCCTCTCAAATGCCAAATTCTCACCATGGGGGCTTTCCTATCCCTTCCATCCCTATGCACTGGATGTGATTTCTCTCTTCTGATTCCCCAAATCTATACTTCTCTTAAAGCATTTAATACACTCTACCAAATATGGATATTTACATATTTTTCTCATCTCTGCCCCAAACCTCATCTCTATAAGCTCTACACTCTGAGCTCTGCAAGAGACAGGACAATCATTTTTGGTTTCTTAATCACCTTTTAACTTCTTATAGTATCTATCTGAGTTCCTTGTACATAAATTCAGAAAGCATATGTTAAATTTAGTTGGTAAGAAGAGTAGATTTCATTGGGAGAAGGATTAATGAGTTTATAAGACAATATTGTTTTGTTTAATTACCTTTGAACTTCTCCTATAATGAGTTCCACTGTCATGTGTCCCTGGAGGTACTAATTCCAGACTTGGGTTAGGGTCTACTTAGCAGAGAAAAGTCTCAGGCCAGATTATAGGCTTCTTTTACTCACAATACTCAAGGCTACAGTAAAAGAGACTCTCTCTCTCTCTCTCTCTCTCTCTCTCAATATATATAATTGATTTTTTTAGGAAGGGAGAAACAGATAAAAACATCGATGTGAGAGAGACACATCTATCGGCTGCCTCCTGCACGCCTCCTACTGGGCATGTGCCCTGACCGGAAAATCAAACTGGCACCTCTCAGTCCATGAGATGATGCTCAACCCACTGAGCCACACCAGCAGGCTAAAAGAGACTATATTTATTTTCGCAAAATATTTTAAGAAATATATGTGAAAATTCAGAAGAAGCTAGAGTTCAGAATAAAAGATTCTAAGACCTAGTCTGGCCAGTGTGGCTCAGAGGTTGAGAGTCAACGCATGCACCAAGAGGTCGCCGGTTTGATTCCCAGTCAGGACACATGCCCAGGTTGTGGGCTTGATCCCCAGTGAGGGTCATGCAGGAGGTGGCCAATCGATGTTCTCTCTCATTGATGTTTCTATCTCTCCCTCTCACTTCCTCTCTCTGTAAAATCAATAAAAGAAAACAAATTAAAAAAAAAAAAGACCTAATATTCTAATGGGCTACTTTTGGAGTTGGTGTGGGTCTTGGACAGAAGGACAACCACTAAAGACTTTGAGGGTCCTGTCTGATATTAGTCACTCAGGAGCATGATAGCATATTTCATTAGCTAATCATGCTCTTTAGCCTCAAGTATCTTTTGGTGCTTTCTCTCTCTCAGTCTAAAAATAACTTACCTCCAGTTTTATACTCAAGGTTAGCATTCCCCCTGCCTTTAGAAGTGATGATGTAACATTTGTAGGTGCCAGCATCTGTGAGTTGCACATTTTTCAGCCTCAGAGAAGCATTGCCAACCCTCACTTGATCGGCAAACACTGCTGTCCGGCCTCTGAACATTTCATTCTGGTCTGACAAGTCATCTTTGCCTTCTTTGAACTCGTGGACCAAGCCCATAACACCTTCCTTTAGCCACTGTATCACGATATCAGAAAGTTTGATGTCAGGTTCAAAAGTGCAGCTCAGGATTCCGTCTTCCCCGATGTTCCCAGCGGAGGTGAGAGTGGTGACTGTGATGGAGTGTGTCCCTGCAGTTTAGGAAGCAAGGGTCAGTGCCAAGGGAGGCTTCGGGACTTCTACAACCAAACCGTTCATCACCAAAAGCCAAACAGAGACTTCTGTAATAAATTAGAAGTATAGAAAAACAGGAGAGGCGTAGAAAAGTAGACATAAGAAGACTAGAAAGAGCAGGAAGACAATAGTTTTCAGGGCTACAGCAGATTTGCCATAAACAATAGCTTTTTGGGCCCAGGCAACCTAATCCTTGAGACAATAAGAGAAGAACATATTGGATTTGGGGTTTGAAGATGAGAATTCAAATCATGTTTTGTCAATATCTGTGTGACCTTGAATAAGTCATGCAACCTCTCTGAAGCTCAGAAAAATTGAGGTAATGATATCTGTTTTTCCTACCTTAAAGGGTTCCTGTGAGGATCAAATCAAATCATTATGAACTCGATTTGCAAACTATAATTGCATATATAAGGTATTGCTATTCTTAGTTAACCAGAGTGGTGCAGAATGAAACCTCATCTTAACTAAATGTGTCTAGGAATTCTGAAGAATGTTGCACTCTAAAGTGCTGTTACTTTTATCTCCATTTGAATGATGAAGAAACTAAACATAGAGAAGACAGTGACTTGGTCAAGGTTATAGTGCTAGCTATGGCATAATGAAGAATGGTACTTAATTACATTATTTTTTGGCCTAAGATAGAAGACATACCACCTCGCCAAACATACCACCAGTAGAATATTAATCACGCTGCCAGCCACGTCCACTGCCTTTTCCGCAACTGCCCGGCCGATGCCCACTCAGTGTATTAAGGACTGACCCAGCTGTTGTTTCTGCACTGGGGGCTGCTGACCGGGTGCCTGTAGGACTGATTTAATGAACTGAATCTTCTTGAGAGGCTTTTTCTGGGGGATAGATGTGAAGCCAAGGAGAGGATGAGAATTTGAGACCAAGAGGCGAGTGGGCCAGACAAAAAAGTCGGTGGGGGAAGACCATGAAAGAAAGATAAAGAAGGTCCTCCCCCAGCCCCAAACTGTCTTAGATCCTGAGGATTTTTAGGTCGAGTTCCTATCCCAATCTGTGAGTATCCTTTAAACAAACACCTTATATTAAAATGGTCTTCGCTAACCTCTCTTCCTTAGAGTAAAAAAAAATGAGTGCTGAGCATTTCTCATCTTCCATATTGGTGTTCCTTCTGCCCATCTTTGCCCCAGTCTACACATGTTACATGCATTAATCTTACAGGTGGAGCTTAGAGAACAATCTAAACATATTACTTTTCTAATCACTAATCATCTATGGCTTCCGAGGACTATGGGGTGAAGTTTGAGACTACCCAGCATGGCCTTCAGACCTAAATGGCACATGGCACATGGAAAACGCTCCTACACTGTTACCTTTCCATCCTCATCTCCCACTATATTCTTTCTAGTCTGTACTATCTATTCATATCAGTGATTGATTGATTTTCTGCTTTCAATGGAAAAATATATAAGCTAAGCATACTTGTTATTTTTCAAATGTAAGAGGTAAACATTATGAACATAAGGATATTCTCTCTTGCCTCTTCCAGCCCGTAAACGGTTGGAATCGTTGAACTGGGTCCTAGGCCTTTACAAAGTAGATGAAGGTAATGGATAAGGGACAGACCTGAAGAAGCCAAGCTAGATGGGTTTATATTAGAAAGAACACAGATCTACTGATGGAAGAAAAATTGTAAGTAAAAAGGCAGAGGAAACACCTGTGCATAGGTTGGTTTGAGAGGCTGTGTGGAGGCCCAGAGTGTGGAAGAGAGAGACTGGAGTAGCTGCCTGCCTGGCCATTCATGTGGGAGCTTTGGGAGAGAAGTTATGAAAGAGGATGGTGTGAAGGTTTGATGTGTGATATGAATGCAAAACACCTCATACTCCACCTTGGCATGTTCTTGAACACTGCTTTAAAGATTTAATTTGTTTTCTACTATTTTTAACTTGACAGACTGATATCCAAAATATCTCGGGCTAGTACTGGTTATACAATTATGCTTTTATTTTCACACCTCTGTTCACCTTACACCTACAATATATAGTTCCCTTCTCTCCTTTATCACCAATTATCCAAATTCTGCTGACATTCAAGGCTCTTCAGATGGCAGCCCTGTCATGAAACCCCCCTTTGATCACCAAGATGAAATGAACAGGTTCTCTCTCCACTCTCCCTGGACACGTTCCTTCGCCTCTGTTACAGTAGCTGCCTCCTTCTACCTTGTCTCTAGTCTGTATCCGGCACCCATTCGTAAGCTTTCCAAGGAACCGTTTTAATCATATCTGTAACTTCTATAATGCTGTGATGATTAATTTTTTGTGTCAACTTTTCTGGGCCACAGGGTGCTCAGACATTTTGTCAGATACGTTTGGTGTGAAGATGTTTCTGGATAAGATTAATATGCGAATGAGTAAACGGAGCAAAGCAGATCACGCTCCCCTGATGGAAGCCTTAGAGATGGGGCCTCCTGGGGCCTCAGGGGACTTCCCAGCCTTGAGGACTGAGAGAAAATACATTTCTGTTGAAAACCACCAGGTCTATGGTATTTTGTAACGGCAGCTTCAGCAAATTGAAACAAGTGCCTAGTGCTGTGTTTCTACAGAGAAAAATAATATTTGCTAGTGAATGGATACATGAGTGAGTGGACGTCAGTAGAAAGCAAGGGGCTGTTTAATGGTTCTATCCAAAATGATTATAGGAGTGAGGAGCATTTGGCAGGATTACCACATCTAAATTTGGGGGAAATGTAAGCCAGTGAAAAAGGTGGCAATGAAATACACAGAGATTCTTAATAAAATCATGGAGCAAATGTAACTATATTATAGCCAGGGTAAATTGGATTGTATTTTAGTTGATTTGAAAAATTACTTTTCAGGAAAAATACATAATTAGCGCAGTTTGTGGAGAGAATGAAATGGTAATGACACATCTTAGTTTGGTAATTGTGCTACCAAATTAATTGTAACGTCTTGGCTTTGAGCCCATAGGTGGAGGATTTGTTGAAATTTCTCTTAGAGCCCTGGCTGGTTTGGCTCAGCCGTTAGAGTGTCAGTTCGCAGACCAAAAGGCCTTGGGTTTGATTCCAGTCAAGGACACCTACCTGGGTTGCAGGTTCAATCCCTGGACCCTGTCGGGGTATGGAAGGTAACCAATCAATGTGCCTCTCTCACATTGATTTCTCTCTCTTTCTTCCTTCCCTTTAAAGTTGGAAGATGCAGTCACTTACTGGAAATGAATTCTCTAGCTTATGAGAACTATTACTATCACAGCTCTGGTCTGCAGGGAAAAGAGGATCTGTCAAAGGGGAGCAAGTAAAATCTGAGCACTGCCCTGGCTGGTTTGGCTCAGTGGTAGAGCATTGGTCCCGTGGACCAATGAGTCCCGGGTTCGATTCTAGCCAAGGGCACGTATCTTGGTTGTGGTTTGTCCCCGACCCTGGTTGGGGTTGTGCAGGAGGCAACCAGTCGATGTGTCCCTCTCACATTGATGTTTCTCTCTCTCTCTCCCTGTCTCTACCTCTCTCTCTATCTGAAGATAAATAGAAAAATATCCTTGGGTAAGGATTAAAAATAAATAAATAAAATCTGAGCACTATTCAGTTGCCCTCTGGCGTAGGAGCAGGGAGCCCTTCGACAGTGGAGTTACAGGTAGCACAAGGCAAGGATTCTTTACAGAAACTGATTCTGGGATGCCCAACAGCACTGGATAAAACCTGGAAAATGAACTTCCCTTTGCAAGGACTCAGCAAGACAGGTTCTGTAGTTCCAGTAGCACAGAGAGCACACTAGACGCCTTCAGCAGATGGTCACTCAGCAGCTGCTGGAACCCAGCTGTCCAGATGGGCACCACAGCGCACGGTTTAAAGGTGAAAACACATGGGCTTAAGCCTGCACCAGTGGAGCCTGGGGTGGCACCTGTGAGTGCCACTCTTGCCAGAGAAGAGGGCAGGGTTGATGGAAGCAGTTGCTTCTGTGAGAAGAAATCAGAAAGGGTGGGGGGCCAGGCTAGGTAAAGGAGCAAGGTAGGGAAGCAGCAGCAGGGCATAGTGTTTGAGAACAGGCACAGACTGTCTGGGTTCAAGTCCCAACTCTGCCACTTACTGGATACGTGACCTTGGGCAACTTTCCTAACTTCTTTATTCCATAGCTTTTTCATCTATAAAACTACTAATAGTAGTTTCCTCAAAGGGTCTTTGAATGGTCTAAATAATAACAACACAGATAAAGAGCTTAATATAGTGCCTGATTTGCCACATTAAACCTTCAGTCAATGGTATTGATAACCCTTATTAACTAGAATCATTTAGAAAGATTGTAGATTCGAGTACCAAGAAGAAAGAAACGATTTACTAAATGCTTTACTTATAATGACTCATTTAAACCCTGATAAAACCATGAGAGGAAAGAATTATCATTTTAGAAATGAGGATGAAGAGGCTCCGTGGGATTAAATGGCTTTCCCAAGCCCTTTAGCTGGCAAGTAGTGGAGCCATATCAAACTCCATCTTATCTGGTGCTAACCCTGTGCTCGCTCCACCATGTTTTGCTGATATCCAGGGCCAGGCAGATATGTAAGAGTCTACTCACTAAAACAGTATCCCCACCTCATGTAAAAAGAAAAGTAATTAAAAACTATAAAACAAGTGTAAGAAAAGCCAATCACTAATTTATTTTCTCAGGTGACTACAATTTTTAAAAATAATGATTTTTTTCCCCCAAACAATTTCTTCATTGCTCCTGCTTTGGTACCATAAGCACGTGCCTGGCTGGCTTACCGAGTAGGCTGTAACTTTTCCCCAGTGTCCGAAGACGGAGAATTTCAGAGGAGGCTGTGTCCGTGACTTCCTGCCTGGCCTCCTCACTGCGGAGGAGACCTGCCTTGGTGTGGCCAGGAAACCGGGCAAGTTTTAGGAGGTGGTATATGATGCATTAATAACAGCAAATTATTAATAGCACTGATGATCTCAACAGGAAAAATAATGGCAGCCATTTATTACACACGTGTCAGGCACTTGACAAACACTGTGTCGTTGAATCCCACAACTAGTCCGACTGCTTTACCAGTGAGGAAACTGTTTCTGGAAAGTTAAGTTACATCCCATGGACACATACAGATTCCTAAACTGTCCCACTACACAGAGCTGTCCAGACCATCCAGGGATGAGCGCCGGCACAGGACGAACAGGGTCGGGGGCCTTGCCTCTCCTTCCTTCTTAAAGTCGGCTGGGGGCAGCACACCCGCGCTGGAGGAGAGCGACAGGGAAAAGACCGCTGACGCTATAAGACGAAACTTCTGAAGGGACAGCTCTGGCCACAGACTGAGTTAAAATAAATGTGTTGGCCTGAGTCAGACGGCTTAAGGGAAATGGAGCAAAAACTTGCCTCAGAGCAGACAGCTGCTCACTCGATGTCTCAATTAATGTGGCATCCATAATAGATGCTTTCGGACACAGAAGAGGAAAGAGAAGACTGTTCCTTGCAGCTGCTAGCTGCATTCAGAAACTCTCCATCCATGCCATAGTGGCCTGTTTCCTACAGGGAACAGCAGCCACGGCCGGTCTTCTCTTCACCTAAGACCCCTGTGTGCAAAGACTTGATTTTCTCTAACACTTCAGCTGAAGCCTTGTTGCACCAGGTCAACCACAGATAGAATGGCTCAGTCCTGACAGAACTTCGCCTATGATCCCAGAATGTCTCACACTGTCTGATAGCTAGGGAACGCTCTGACAGACACCCCATTTGATTCTGCCAGCTACCTGGTGATGTAGGCATTACGTCCTCCACTCCATAAATGAGGAAACGGAGGCCCACAGAGTTAAGTGACGAATATAAAGAAAATAAAGTCAGTAAGTAGGAGAACCAATGCTCTGTTCTGAGGCTTTCTGGGTCCACGAGCTGTGCTCTTTCCCTCTACCACCCTGAGTGACTGGGGCTCACTGGTGAGGGGCGGGCAGATTGTGGTAATGCAGGAAGTCACGTACCTGAAATACCAAACCCGATGATAAGTGCAATTGCTCCAGCCAAAATAATGATGATGCTAATGATGCTATGGAGAGATAGAGAAATGGGCAATTACTTCATTCCATTTGCAACCTGGGCTCATATCTGTCATAAGAGGTGCTACATTAAACATCTCAACTCTCTCTTCAACATAAGCCATTTCCCAGAAATAGAAAAGGAGTCTCAACAATTCTATGCCCGTCCCCCTGGGGCACTGTGGAGATTAAAGGAGTGGCCCTTTTATTTGACTGCTGGGTCATGTTAGTTTTCTGTTTCCAGACCAGGGAAGACCATGAACAAAGATTATGGGGGCAAAACTGATGCTGTCTCTAATGCAAGTGCCACTGGCTTCACACCGGCCCACACTGAGCGTCCCGCCCACCCCTCTCATAGCATTAAACTACCTGTTTGTCTCTTCCCATAGATTTTAAACCCCACTAAGAACAATGGTCATGTTCACTTTATATCCACTCACCCCTAGTCCATTGCACCCCATAGATCCTCAACAGGAGTTTATTTTCTCTTATTAAAAAATTAATACATATTTATGAAATAAAGTTTAGAAAATACCAATTAGCAAATATTCCATCATCCAGACATAACCACTGTTAACTTCTGCCAATTTGCAATGATCAGATTAACAAATGACATTTGGGAAATAAACAAGGAAGTATTGGTTACATTTACCAAGTGCTAAAATTACGTGGCAGGCATGTTCTAGGCACCATCTATGGATTATATCATTTATCCATGCGATAGATAACCTTATGGGGTAAACAAAGTCATCATCTCCAGTTTACAGATGAGGAAATGACAGGGAGGTTAAGCATCTTCCCTAAATTCACAGGGTTGGTAAATGGCAGAGCTGGGATTAGAATGTGTCTCTGGAAAGTGCACTCGACTATTCCTACGCTGCCTCCCAAGGGTGGGGCCTCATGAATGGGGTGTGTCTCTCGGCTCTGTCCAGGGGAACCCAGGGGACACCAGCTTTAGCTGGCGAGAGTGATGGGCAGAGCAGAAGGTGCACGTCAGAGCTGCTTTGTTGGCAGAGCATTCCCCGGGAAGCTTGCCCACTGCTGCCTGCCCTGGTGCGTAACTCACCAGCCTGGTGTCCCCGGCCACACTCTCTTGCTGCGGCAGTTCCCACACTACCCACACCCACACTGATGTTATTCCATCGGCAGGACAAAAGAAAGGCACAGGCAGGCAAAGAAAGATGTTATAGAGAGAAAGGGAAGCATGGACCTTTGACTTTCTGCCCTGAATAGGTTCATTGTACCCAGCCCCCATTGGCTCAGCGATGGGCTCACCAGAGAGAAACAACAGACTTACAAGGAGCAGTCTGAGTACACAGTTCCCCTGGAGGTCAAGCCTTCATGAGGTATAGCCAGGGGGGCAGCAAGTGAATAAGCAGAACGAAGCTTTTAATAATAGGGTATCTGCACTTGATTCCAAGAGGAGACACCATTTGACCACTTTTCTATTTCCACAGCTCGCTGCAGCCTCGGTTTTCACTGGTCCCAGTGCGTGAGAACAGCTAGACAGACTCATAGCAAGAGGCACTGTCTGGCTCTCTTAGTCACTGGGTCAGACAGCAGACTTGCATTAGTGACTCAGGGATCCACTTACCTTGGGAAAATGACTTCAACTCTCTAAGACTCAGCTTCTTTCTCTTTAAGAGCCCTGGTCAGTTTGCTCAGCGGTTAGAGCATCAGCCATGGACCTAAGAGTTGTGGGTTCAATTTCAATCAAGGGCACGTACCTGGGTTGCAGGGTTGATCCCCAGTCCCAGTTGGGGTCTTGTAGGAGGTAATCAATCAATGTGTATCTCTCACATCAATGTTTTCTCCCTCCCTCCTGCCCTCCCTTCCACTCTTCCTAAGAAAAATAAATGAAAAAATATCCTCAGGTGAGGATTGAAAAAAAAGGGGGGGGGGGAATAAGAGTAATTTCTGCTTTACCTGCTATAAAGGTGTTATGGGTTGAAGTGTGCCCCCCAAAATTCATATTTCGAAGTCCTCGGAACCTCAGGAAATGACTTAATTTGGAAATAGGTTTGTTGCAGATGTAATGAGTTACAGTGAGATCATACTGGAGTAGAACGGGCCCTAACCAACATGACGAGTGTCCATATATAAAGGGGAAACTTGGACGCTGACATGCACACACATGGGATACGGCACGTGAACAGGAAAACAGAGATGTGTAAGTCAGGGGACACCAAGGGTTGCCGGCCAGTCACCAGAAGCCAGGGACAGGCATGGAACAGTCTCCCTCACGGCCCTGAGCAGGAACCCCGCTGACCCCTGGGCTGCTGGTCTCCAGACTGTGCAACAACACCTTTCTGTTGGTAAGACGCCCAGTCTGTGGTGCTTTGTCACAGCAGCCCCGGCAAACGAATACAGAAGGGCTGTTTTAAGATCAGATGAAGTTTTTGACAATGAATGTTGCATAATTTATAAAGGACTATTCGTATATTACTTTTTACTATTAAAAAAGTTTAGTTGGGCCCTGGCCGGTTTGGCTCAGCGGTTAGAGCGTCGTCCTGTGGTCCTGAGAGACCTGGGTTCGGTTCCCGCTAAGGGCATGTTCCTCGGTTGCAGTTTGTCCCCGGCCCTGGTCCGTCGTGCGGGTGGCAGCCACTCAATGTGTTCCTTTCACATCGATGTTTCTCTCTCTCTCTCTGTTCCCTCTTTCCCTCCCACTCTACCTGAACAAAAAAATGGGAAAATGTCCTCGGGTGAGGATAAAAAAAAAAAAAAAGTTTAGTTGGCCCTGGCTGGTAGTTCCGTTGTTTAGAGCGTCATCCTGATATGCCAAGGTTGTGGGTTCCATCTCTGGTCAAGGCACATACAGGCACATACAATGAGTGCATCAATGAGCAGAACAACAAATCGATGTCTTGGTCTCTTTGTCTCTCTGTCTCTGTCTCTCTCTCTCAAGTAAATTTTTGTTTTTAATTTAAAAGCTTACTTGCAGCTATCTGCTGTAAATTTATTGTTAAAAGCTAATAACTTAAATCTGGAGAATAATTCGACTGATACTAATAGAAATATCCTAGCATTTTGATACATCCAAATAGCATGCACCAGCCTTGGCGCTAAGTGTTCGGTGTGCATTTTCGTATGTGTTTGAATGATCAAGTCCTGTTATCTGGTTAATTCTCTCGTGTCCGTCTGGTGCTCCTGCTCACCACCGTGCCTCACCGCACTACTGCAACACTCTCCTGTCTGCTGTCCCTGCTTCCCGTCTGACCTCTCCCATCCACCGCTCACACTGCAGAATCATCGGTCACTTCAGGATTTCTTTTTTCAATTTTTTTTTCTTTATTGGTTTTAGAGAATGAGAAAGGGAGAGAGAGAGAGAGAGAGAGAAATATTGATGAGAGAGAACATCGACTGGCCGCCTCCTGCATGCCCCCTACTGGGGACTGAGACCACAAGCTGGGCGTGTGCCCTGACCAGGAATCGAACCAGTCCACATTCAACCACCGAGCCACACCGGCCGGGCCACTTCAGGATTTCTATGTAACCGCGGCTTAGGGGAGACAATCTAGTCGAAAGTGGGAAATGGGTGATCACTGAGGCAGTGTAATGCTGTGATCACGAGCATGGCTTCTGGACCCAGCCTGCATAGGTTCAAGTCCCAGCCCCACCACTTACTAATTGTGCGACCTCAACTTCCCATCATGAGAAGATTAAGTGAGTCAACGCAGTTTTAAAAACCACTTAGAATAGTGCCTGGCACATAGGAAGCTTCAATAAGGATTAGCTATTCTCATTCTTGTTGTTTTCTATGGTTATATAATAAGCACATGTTTCTAACTTAGAGTATGTGTTTCCTTGATGAGGCTACTGAGCTATCGGTGAGAATGATGACGAAGCTGATACAGTAGTCCTCATACTGGTTGGAAAACTCCCAGTGCCTTTCTGTTTTCTTCATGGTAAGAATTCACTCTGCGATGGAGCTCACAGGGCCTTTCGAAGGGGTTCTTGCCCTCTCTCTCCAGCCTTGTTTCTCCCACACTTCCGCTGGGATGCTGCACTCCAGCCGCACTGAAGCATCATAGATCCCACCCCCAACCCCACCCCCACCACAGGTATGCTGCCCCCCACCCTCTCTCAGTGGGGGCTGGACAGCAAAGACACGGAGCAGACACCTGTTCCTCACCGATAGGAACAAGACAGTGGAGGTTGAGTGTTTCAGTCAAAGCAGCTGCGCCCATCTCCCTCGCCCCGGCCCCCACGTCCCCTGCTGTGGACGCAGGACCCTGCCACCTAGGCATGTCCCCTATCTCACAGGAATCACTTGTTTTGAACTGGTGTTCCCTCTGGAAAAGCGCACCTTCCAGAACCTCGGGAAGCGAAGCAGGAACTATCAGAGCAGCCAAATTAAGTAATTCCTGTCTGCTGCTTATTAATTTTTTAAAACGATGAATAAAATATTTCACATAAGATGTTCTTACATTGCTTTTTGGTTTCTACTTCCCCAGCATAATTTCCAATAACTATGATATGGGGAATTTTTAATGCAAAACTGCCTTCTAACCACTGCGTTGGAATTCACAGTGCACAGTTGCTGCTCCTTAGAAGGGCCCAGATGCAAGTCAGTGCTTTTGAAGGATTTGTTCATTTAGCAAATATTTGTTAAGTACTTACCACGTGAAAGACATTGTGCTGGGCACAGTGGAGGAAATCAGATGGAGGTAAAGGAAGTGCCTGCTCTCCAGGACTTACAGTGCAATTGAGGTGAAACACACACGCACATGCACATGGAGCATACACGAACATACATGCACACACACGCCTCTGTAATAACACAAGACAGATGTGGTCAGGGCTTCAGTAAAGAGAGGAGCACGTTCTCTCGGGAATTCTAGGTTGATAGCAAGTATTGAAATCTTAGAGAAATAAGGAGACTCAAAGTGCATTTCCATGAACAAGTTTCAAAGAAAGTAAAGGGAGAGGCTTTAATGTATTTAGCTAATTCATGCTGCTACCCACACTCTCATCAAAGCTGAAACACAGAGAAAAGTGGTCATTTCTG